GAGCAGTGGCCATTATCTGTACTGTCCTCATCCCCGGAATCCTCCCCGCAGCTGATCTGACTCCCGTCCTCCACCTCGAACTGGTCATTGAACACTTCTGGTGTGGCATCTGTTTCCGGTTGAATATCGTCCAAAGGTGCCGGCTCGTGTCCTTGGTTATCGCCTGCAAACGAAGGGAGCACAGATGTTGGTGTGGTCTCTTGAGCCGATGAATCAACAATGTCGGCAGCCAGCGAATGGGGCATGGAGGGAAAGGTGTGGTTAGCGGTATCATCAGCCGCCATTGTTTGCTGCTGCTCTCCCCTGCTTTGACGTCGTCTTTGCCGCCGCAACTCTATCCTCGCCTTTCTTGCCTGTTTTGCGGCACTATTCATGCCCCTTAACTCATCTCCTGACTCTGGCACGCTAGCTCGTCGGTTGGTTTTGCGTCGGCCACCGGTCTGTTGCGCACGACCTTCTTCAACCCCGAAAAGATAGTTAGCCATTGCGGCGCACTGCTGCCGGCATCTCCTCACGAGTTTCCCAAACTTCGCCTTGGTGCGGCAGTTGGCGAGCTTCTTGAAGAGGTCCGAGGCGTTGGGCCCAAACTTTAGCACATTTTGCTCCAAATGCCAGCTGCAGAAGTAGTGGGGAAGCTGCAATGGGAACACTTCTTTAACAGCAGGAATCAACCCCTTGTCACGGTCACTAATAAGGGAGGCATTCTGTGTGGTTGGCCAAGATGGAATATGCTTCAACAAGTTCTCACAAAACCACTTCCAACTATCCTTATTCTCACTCTCGCATAGGCCGTACGCAAGTGGAACAAGCTGGTTATTGCCATCCTTAGCAGCTGCAACCAAGAGCGTAGCACGCTGTGCCCGAATAAGAAACGTGCCATCCATACCAATGACCGGTCGACAGAACCTTAGGGCAGTTTTTGATGCCGATGGGGCGGCAAAAGCACGGAAGAAAGCGTGATCCTTTGTCACAAGGTCGAGCGTTGCTTCAGGGTCAATCGCCCTGAAGCGTTCCAACAGGCGAGGGATGTAACGAAACGATGTTTTCCAATCTCCAAACCGCTCCTTCAACATCTTTTCCTTGAGCCTGCGATGATTGGTGATAACGTGCAAGACAGTATAGGCATGTAGCACGAACATGAGAGACATCGTGTGGGTAATCATGAACATTTCTTTATGGTACACGGATGAGATGGAAGGTTGGGAACCACAATAGAATGCTATAATACTTACCTCCAAGATTGATGATAACTGATGTCAGGACCGCCGGTCGACGCAATCTGATCCTTGTAAGTCCCGGGAGGGTGATGTGGAGCGGCGTGGACAAGGTTCCCATGATGACGCTGTAGATACGGTACTTTATTTGTAGTGTGGTTGACGTAGCGGTCCCGATCAACGGGTGAGCAACAATGAGATGTTGGGGCGGACAGTTTATTAACACGCCAAAACCCACCCGCTCCGTCATTTGAGTACTCACACCGCCACTTGCAAGCTGGTTTACGTCGCTCATGGTGACTCATGCATATAGCGCTGGCTCTGTTTGGCCTACTCTTTGAAACCCTAAAACCGAAGTTGTGGGCTACCGAATAATCTTCCAACGCCTCGTACAGAAATTTCTTCGAGGAGTACAGTTGACCTTCACACAACGGGGCTCGATCGTTTATCACTAATGGTGGCGAGTGATTATCTTCATCCGTCATATTTCGGAGCAATGCACGGTACATATCACTCTGCTTGGGCTCTCCAGTGCCAACAAAACAAAACTCCGTATCTTCGTCGCCTGAGTCGTACTCTGTGTTAGTAATATTAGATGACGAACCCATTGCGGCTAGTAGAAACGTTCCAACTGAATTACCTCCTAGAAGAGATACGGGAACAAAGTAGGATGTCAACCCTAAAACGACGAGAGAATAGGGTGTGTGAGGTGTGTTGCATCACTTTTAAAAAAAAAAGCGCGGGATATTGACTTAGCGTTTCAATTTGACTCTTATTGGCCAGAGGTTTTGTTTCGGCGTGTGTACCTTTTGTAGCATTGGTGAGTTTAAACATATATTCCATTTCCAGTAGCTCGATCTCATATGGGCGTGACCCTATATGAGCGCGCCTGATTGGACGCGCAAGATCAGAAAAGGGCCCGCGCATAGAGTCGACCAATCACACGCGCTCTGTAATTGGTCGCGCGTGTGGACAGTCGTGCAATTGAGTATATGATCGGGGATTCATATCTCTATGCGCGGATTGGTCAATCATTGGACCGAAAATGAGCGCGACTGTTCGCCGAACATGATCGTGTTGATTATTGTCGTGTATTCGAACGATGACGTGGCCACTCTCGCGCACGTCACCCAGCCGAAAAAATCGGGCGGAAAAACACACGCCACGTTTTTGCGGGAAGAGTTACGAACGACGTGAGAAAAGCAGGGCTAAAAACCGGTTTTGGGTAATGTGCCGGATAAAAAAAAAGCCAGAGGAAACCTCTGGCAAGACCACTCGAGCAATTATCATCAAATTGTCCGACTACGGTAGCAAATTGAGCCTACGTGTGCAACGGCAAATCACCGTTTCCGGGTCTGGAGAAAATCTCTCCGGCCACAACTCCGCCAAGCAGCATCCCTGCCTGCCAGCTAACCTGGCTGCCAGCTTGCTTTGTGATGGGGGCAGGCAGGCAATGGGGGATTGGCGCGGAGTGAGTGCACAGTCTGGGAAGGGATTGCTAGGAGCCGCGGAGGACATTGCGGAAGGGAAATCTTGAGGGGAGCGAGTGGGAGACACGGTGGAGATTGGGCGAAAAGATTTGGCCAAGAGTGATGCCCCTTCTTTCCTGACCTTCTGCTCCAGAGCGTACAGCACGCCTGGATTGGTTGACTGGCACAATGCCAAACTGCAGATTGGATATTCGTTGCAAACGGGGAAAACGACAGGTTCAGCAGGTAGTTTATGTTGACGCAGTTGAAGCACGCCGATGAAGCCATCACATAGCGACGAAGATTTGACAACGCAAGTCCCAAGAAGGGATCTTCGATTGGATGTTGGTCACAGCATGAAAGGCAGCGTCGGTGCTACTGACATCGTCAGATCCGACTGGCAATTTAGTCTCATTGCGCAAACTACTTACCCTTCATCTTCTTACAAGGTCGGTACATCAACACGAGGCGTTCATTCTCCCTAAGATGCCCTAAGGGCGGATCCGAAGTGAAGTCGACATCCGTTGACATCCGATGTCGGTAAATCCTGACGGTTGGAACTCTCGATCCAAGGGTTGACATTTACCGGCATCCAACCTCTCCATTCGTCGCTTCACTTCGGACACGCTCTCACTTGACGAGACACGCCAAGATACAATCCACTAAGCATTGAGTGTTCGAACTAGGGTTAATTCGTCAAATGCGGCGGCACAAAGAAATAATGAAGCCAAGTTGACATTGATCAAAGAAGCAGCAACAGCAGCAGAAACATACATGCACATGCCGCGAAAAAGCGGGATGAAACAACGTACACAGTGTTGATTGCACGCCTTCTGCGGTGCTTGAACGTTGGTTTCACAAGATATCAACTAATAACAAATCTCGAGGATATCGCATCGTGAAAGATATACGATCGACGAAGGCCACAGGCGCTTCAGTTTGTCCACGCAATCCCATCTACATATCATATCAAATGACCAGTCCGGCGTGCGTGGAATCGACAGATAGAAAGACGTCAGCGTGACGGACAGCACAGGTACACCAATAAGCACGATACAATTGTGTTTGAACGTAGTACCATCCTTATAAATTCATATCATATTATATGGTACTAGCATATCCATACACACCATCAATGGTTGCTCTTTGATTTCCTACTTTCTTTCTCGTCGATTCCGGACATGGAAAATCTTCTGCGTAGCTGAGAGGCAACATCTTCCATCTTGACACCCTGAAATGGCAGTCCACATTTGTGGTATGAGGTTGAAGCTTTGATTCAAGAATCGATACTTCAAAAGTTTCACATACCTTGACAGCAAGCAGAACCATAGAATGGTAAAGAACGTCTGCCATCTCGGAAGCAGCTCTTTCTCCCGCCTCATTCCCTTCCAAGGTCTGGCACAACTCATCCGCCTCCTCCCTAGCAACAAATAGTCTCGTTAGAAACCAGCTACAATGTCGACAACATATTTCGCTTACAGTGAAAAGCATAACACGAAACGAAAGGAGACATACCTGATTTTGGAGCAAAGAAGTGAGTGATTTGAAAGCAAGCGTGCAGTCCACGACGGCTTCGCTCGTTCTTCTCCTGGTTTCTGCTGCTCTTGCTGCTGCTGTTCCTGCTCCATCTGCCGTCTACGAGACGCAATGACTTCCTCTAGCTGGAAGAGCGTGCTCTGGGCGCAAGAAACATCCTCACTAGAAGCAGACTTGTTCTTAGCTACTAAATCACTGGACAGGTCCAACTTCGTGAAAAAGCATGTGTTAGTGCCTGTATGGCAAGTGGGCCCATCAGGGATACCAAGGTAGATGATCTGCAACAATCACGACAGGAATTACACAGGGATATTGGTCCACTGGAGAACAAGGAGACATGAGGAAAAGGTAAAACTGACTGAACGGCAGAAACAACAACCTCAATGATTGGCACTGAATATGAGCTCATCCTGATCCTGAGCTCTGCGCTTTAATTGGAGTGCATCATTGCAATCGATAGACGCATCCAGCGCGTTGTGGTTGGCTTCTTCTCTTTTTGAGTACGGTGATCCAGTTTCGTGAGTGTTATACGCGTGGTCATCCCTTGAGTTCAGTTGAGGTATCTTCCAGCACTCACCGTGTCCCTATAGCAGTCAATGAACATGTCGAGCACATGAATGAAGTGCCCTGGCGTCTCAACCTTTTGAGGTCTCAAAAACTAGCTCTTCTTCTACTAACCGTGTGCTCACCTCTTCCAGCTCTCACCGTGTCCCTGTCGCAGTCAATGAACATTTCTTAGCACATGGATTAAGTGCCCTGACGTTTCAACCTTTGAGTCAACTCAGAAGTCAGCTGTTCTTCTACTCACCGTGTCCTCGGCTCTTCCAGCTCTCACCGTGTCCCTGTCGCAGTCAATGAACATGTCAAGCACATTGATGAAGTGCCCCGAGGTCTCGCCCTTGGTCCACAAGCACTTCCGCGACCGGCTGAAGAACGTGGCACGGTCCGATGCCAGCGTGGCCGACACCGCGTCGCGGTTCGCAAACCCCTGCAGGGATGACGTGGAAGCAAGGAGATGAATCTCGTGAGATGCAAGCACCCCTGGATGCCGTAATTGGTCGAATTCAGGATGAACGGCATAGTGGCTAGCGCTGGTTTGAGTCTGGTGAACAGTGCACCGAGAAACACACCATATGCACTTTTCCTGCATGCAAATGTTTCACCCGCATGAGAATGTCTCACCCGCGTGAGAATGTTTCACGTGCAAGTGTTAAACCCACCTGCATGAGGTCCTGCCCACCTGCATGAGGTCCTGCCCACCTGTATGACCCACCTGCATGAGGATGGCGCCAGTGTCAGCATGCTGGGCGATGGCCACCACGAGCCCCTTGTCGTCCCACTTAATGCTGTCCAGCAGCGCCTCCACCTGCCACCCATCAGCCACACCATGACAGTTGTGCGTGTACCATGCCATCCATGCATGTACCATGCCATCCATGCATGTACCATGCCGTCCATGCATGTACCATGCCATCCATGCGTGTACCATGCCATCCATGCGTCATACCATGACATCCGTGTCCGTGTGGTAGACACGGCAGTAATTATGAAAAACCATGCTGGCTAAATTGTGGACATGCAATTGTAATGCTAAGGGAGTCTGGGATTTAGATGCCACAATGGGTGCTGCTCATTAACTGTAAGTCTTTAGTGAAATTCAGATGCTGCTTTTGCAGCGGTTGTGAATTGTGCCTGACACTGGTTGTACCTCAGGTGTGGAGACAGGTTCGGCACGGTGCAGAGCGGTGGTGGCTTTGGCAACGGTGATGGGCAGAGGACGTGGTAGGTCAGATGGCGTCACATACTGAGAAGGCGTCGTCACATGCCAGGGGTCAGAGATAGACGAATGGGATTTGGAAGTTGGGAATTGAGGATTGGAAACAGGAAGTGGGAGTGACATGGATGTCCGAGAAATGCATGGGGGGGTTGATGAAATGCGGTCATGTTGGTCGGTTGAAAGCAAGGCAAAGGAAAATGACAGATATTGAGACATCCAGAATGCGAGGAACGGCTAATTAAACTGACGCCTGCTTGAAGAACAAATGCAAGGATCCGCGCATCTGGAGCTTGAGTATGCATGCACGTGTGCTACATTTGCCTGGTCACATCTACAGCTCTATTGACATAGTCATGGCTGTAACCACATTTGCCAATCCCTCTCTGTTCCACATTCGGTCTAGTCGCGTCCGTTGCCACGTTCATGCAGTCGTCCTTGTTATCAGAATTGTCCAGTAATTTCTGTGTGGTGACCGCAACTTGTGTGAGGGACGCGACGCGACGTACAGGAGTCGAGACGCCTCGCAGGCCCCCGATGGACGCATTGTCCATCGCGATCCGAACACGACGGGGACGGTGAACCGCGCAATGCGCTGCCGCGAACTGCGAAGCGCGAACGACGTGTGGGCGAGAAACGACGAGCAGAGAGCGATGAGATAAAGACGAATGTAGGCCGGGTCAAGGGCATAATACACCGGAAACTTATTTAAGGCACTGATATCGGATTCCTGAAGCTCACAGGGCTGGCAGACGGGAGGCGAACCACCGTGGCCATTGTCATGATCAAAAAGCTCGCAGCCAGTCAGCCAGCGTCGCCAAGACGTGCAGCAAAAAAATCGTTACGCGAAGCGCAGACGACAGGAAATAAGCTATCCGCTCGGTAGGCAAGTTCGCACTAACGTGCCGTGCCAATCGGCAATCAAGCGTGCGAGAGGAAGAAGCTAAATGAAGGCTTTTTTGCTCGCAGCCAGCAGCTAAGGCGAAACCTCCAGACCTGAAAGCCTGACGTTAAGTATTCCCTCGTTAAAAACAACTCTGGATATTGCAAGAAACTGGTACACAGCTTATGACTGTAACTGAACGCAGTATTCAGGGTCCAATTTGGGATTCAATCAGTACAATTGGTAAGGATTGCTGCCACCGATGTCTATTGCAGAAGAAGTGATTTGAATCCAATCAATGCTTCGTTTAATTACTGGGAATAGCTTGGGGAGGTTGTCAATTGTTGTGCTTTCTCGCCGAATTCACTTGTCCTACCATACCGTATATTCTTTCTAAAACCTTGGACAGAGTAAAGTAAGGTCTTATCAAGAGCACCCGGGTATATTATATTTTCACCACTGCTAACACGCACCCTGCTTAAAAAACAGTAAGATATGTGGGCCTATAGTGGTCAGTAAGATATGCATAGGCGCTCGCTCTTTTCCCCCCTCGTCCACGGCCCCCAGGTTGACCAAAAACCCTGTTCAGGCCCTCAGATTCACTTTGAGGCACGTAAGGGTATCAGGGTCCCTCTGGCCCTAGACCCTGATCAACAGGGTCGCCTAGGGAAAAAGCCTGAAAGTTCAGTGTTTCTTAAAAAAAAAGTCTGATGCATCAGTGTCACCTGTAGAAAAAGGCTGATAGTAGTGAAGCTGATTTTTTAAACTTAAAAACTCTATGAAGGTCGCAAACAGCCTTCAATATTGTAAACCAAAGCCTATCTTGCTTGCTAGCTAGCTATGCATTGCATCCAGCATGACTCTGGGTCAGGGTGAGTTCAGTAATCATCATCTGATGAGGCCTGCTTGTCATCATCATCTTCTCTTCCCTTAGCCTGTCGTTGTGCCCACTCTTCCTCCTCTAGGGCCTCCTTTCCCGTGCTATCCCTGCCCTCTCCCTCTCTTTCGGGTGGTGCCGCCACATTGCCGAATGGGCGGCGCTTCTTGTAGCTGCGCCAGATCTGCACCACCTCATTGTAGTTGGGCTCGTACTCGAGTAGAGACATGGTGACGATGTCTTCGAGGCGGGCGTCCTTCAAGCTCCCCCGCTGCCACGATTTGATAACGTTTTGGCGTGAGAAGCCGCGCTCACACTCCACTGTGCTCAGCGGCAGCACGGCGACAGCCACCCAGAGACGCACCAGATTGGGGTAGCCAGTCGCCCAGTCGCTTGTCTTCAGCATTGCTGTTAGGCCTGCGTGGAAGCTCCGCTCGTTCTTCGGGGCACCTGCGAGGATGGGGCAGAAGGCCCGCAGCTCCTTGATCGCACGCCGCTTGTCGACCCCTGCCACATAATGCGGAAGGGAGAGAGAGGGAGTTTTTGAAAGGTTGGCAAGTGCGTACACCATACGTTGATGAAATGCAATGACACAATAAGAAGAAGGCAACAGTGCGAGAGCGGGAATACCTGGAATGATGTAGTCCGTGTCCTGTGCCCTGAACAGCCTCACGAGAGACTCGAGCCACTCGAGACACTGCTTGTGGCGCTCCGCTCTCCCCAGCTCCCACTCGTCAGGCATGAACAGCCGCACTCCCACCAGGGAGTCCAGGTCCTGGAACCGTGTGCTGAGGTTTTGCACGAGCGTCTCGGCGAAGGTGGTGCAGAGATCGACGCAGGCGTCGTGGGAGCCGAGGGTCGGGTAGTCTTCGCTCGGCTTCTCGTGCAGCTCGAAGGTGTGTGTCGTGGGCCGCCCGTCCGAGTCGGCTCCCTGCACCTTCACCTCGGGATTGCCCCCGTCAGGCCCGTGCTTCTTGATGAACGGGGAGAGGCGCGCGCTCACCCTGCCTCCAAAGTCGTCACCACAGTCGACGTAGCGGGACTCTAGGAATGAAATCGACCGGCGGATCTGCCCGTGGACACTTGCAATGTCCAGCTGTTAGGGGTAAACAGGGCGAACAGAGGATGGAGAGAAGGCCAAATCAGTGCAAAGCAGATTCTGCTTAAGCAGTACATCAAACAGTGACTCTCAAGCCGAAACAAGGCACACAATCCAGCAACGATAGTAACCAAGCTCACCTCACGCTGCTGGAATGCCCTGTTCAGCACATTGAGCTGCTCGAGGACGTCTGCAAGGAAGTATAGCAGAAAGTGAAACCTGTAGCTCGTGGCGAGCTCGTAGAGGGTGCTGTCCCACTCATACAGCATCACGATCAGCGCGGGGAAGACCTCTACCGCGCGCAGAATGGCGTCACCGCGGGAGAGCCAGCGGACGTCGTGGATCCCTTGTAGCTCCAGGTTTGTTTTCGTGAACACCTCCTGCAGGCCAATGAAGCGTTGATGCCACGGGCCAGAACGCCCCAAATGCTCTGCCACTTGGCGGAGCAGGGAGTCCACCATGCCGAACTCGGGGAGTTGTTCAGCGGCGTCCTTTGCTGCGAGGGCCTCCCTGCATGCACACCAGCATTAAAACCGACTCAAGGAGGGGTTAGCAGGGGATGCAGCAGGGACTGTATGGAAGCAGTAAACAGAAGATGAAAACTGACCTGTGGGCGATGCAGTGGCTCGAAACAAGATGCGGGATGCGGAGGCGAAGTCGAGCGACAAGGCCGTTGTGTTTCCCCATCATCACACTCGCTCCGTCAGTGCTTATGCCAGATATCCTCGCCAGTTCAATGCCTAGGGCCCGCAGGTGAGACAAGAGCACTGCGAGGAGAGAGGCTGCATCGCCCTTCTCCACGGTCAGCAGGGCAAGGAACTCAGTCACGGGACGATTTTCACGGATGAATGTCGCGAAAACAATCATATGCTTTCCCCGACACCTATCCGTGCTTTCGTCGCATGTGACGCCAATGTATGGGCTGCTGAGGATGTGCTGTAGTTGCGTTGTGTGCAACCATGTGGCCATCCACTGTGTCAGCTGTCCGAAGCCGTAGCTGCAGCGCATGTCAAACAACACAACGTCAGATAATTCGGTTGATTTTCACAAACACGGTTGCAGTTAGATTAATTCAACACTCACGTAGTATAATAGGTTCCGTAGCCTTTTGCTGGGAACCCGGGCACATTGAGTCGCGCGAGGTAGCGCACAAGATTCACCCATAACTCTATGGGTGCATCTTGCTTGGTCACGAAGAGCAGGGAGTCGAGGAGCTTGACGACCCGCTCCTTCTCCGTGTCGCGAGCGAGATTGTCGCCGTTGATCCGTGGCTGCGTAGCGGCATCGTCGAGAAGCTTCTGCTGGTGTTTCAACGCCTCCTTGTGCTTGGTAGTTGCCGCATGCCATTTGAACGCCTGCGTCTGAACGTCTGTGGCGCCCTTTCCGCCTCTCTCACACGGTCCAGCGTAGCCTGCGTGCACCGTACCTATGCTGCACTTGAAAGCGGGGAAACCGTCAGATTTTTTTAGCAGAATAAGCCAAGAAAACCGCTCGAGCCACTCGCTTTTGTACTTATACAGAGCCTCCGCGTAGGTTGCGTCTGGCCCAACCGGTTTAGAAGGCCCAGGTGTTGAGGGCGACGCCTGCGTGCCTGCGGTCGCGGGCGTCGACAGTTGGTCGGCTGGCGAAGCCGGTATTGCACCAGCGGGACCTCCCGTCTTGGGCCACGGCAGCGTTGACTGCGTGTACCTGGCGGCCTTCTTAGCCACTGGCACCGCCGCGATTTCTTCACCTGAAGGGTTGGAGCTGTCTTGCTCCAACACGGGCGCAGTAGGGGAGGGACACAGAGGCTCGTCGATGGGTTCAAATGGAACATCGACGGTCGGCGCGACTGCAGGCGCCTTTCCATGGTTATCTACAGCCGCTAAGTTGGAGAATAGCAGATCCAGCCCGGTAACGGCCGCGGACAGATCAATTGGCGAACGACGAGCGTGTTCATCGCCGGGGTCATCAGGTCGTTCAATGGCGTCCGGGTGGTCCGCCATTGATTGCGCTGTGAACAAGCAACATCTAACGGGACTCCCTAGCTAGCTGAACGATGGAGGTTTGCCAGGAAGAGAGGACACACGGCTGACTGCCTCTTGGTACACCAGGCAGCAACGCGATGAAACCTTACCCTTGCTAGATGGAAGGAAAGCATGGAGCAAACTTGGGTGGGAGACTGGATGGCTGGCAGCACGGCTGGGCGGCGTGGATGCATCCGTGCTTGCCAGCACGACTTAGACAAAACGGGCCAGAGGACCACAGGTGCTTCACATGGGCCTGAATCCCTCGTTGCGCTGCCTGCCAGCATCGCTGTGCTGCAACCCTGTAATTGGCCAAATCAGGAAATGCTGTCAAAGTGGCCAATCATCGCACCACGCGCGCCAACAACGCATCCCTCTACGAGGCAAATTTGTCTGCTACTCACCGCCACGCCCTGCTGACACCGCGGGAATCTGATATTCCCTGTACAGCTGGGCAACTACACACGAACCGTGTAGGAATCGCTTTCAGGGTCGGATTCGTTACAACGTAGTGGAATCAGTGTCTCTAGAAAAAGATTGCTGAAAGTTCAGAGTCATGTGCTAGGTGAAGGCTGAAAAATCAGCCCCACAAAAAGCTGAACACTGGAAAATCAGTGTAGGTTAAAAAAAAACCTGGAAATCAGGAATTTCAGGGGAAAATTCCTGATATCGTAGGGCCTGACCCTGTTACACCAACAGCACCACCTCTTCTACGGTAAGCACGAAAGGAGTAATTCGCATTATCAGTACCACAGCCACGCAGAAGTACCAGTACTACCATGTCGTACAACAATATCCTGGAATTGCCTAGCAAAGACCTCCTTACTACTTGTCTAGCATATGTACAAGCCTCCCTTCGGAGGTCTGAATCATGTACAATACCCACTACCTTCTCCATGCCGATTAAGAAGCCAGAGCAGTCAAGGGTGGGTGGATAAACGGTTTCTCCTCATGCATCCTCACGACCACCACCGGACAGTCACCTGCCATGAAGTCAAAAGCGTTCACCGCACAGCCAATGCCTGTCAGAAAATGCCGTAGCATAGGCAAGTAACAGCGGATACGGTACAACACAAAGTACAAATGGATGATGCGTTGTGCCCTCAAAACAAAACGAGTAAAGACGAACAGAAAAAGGGTTGCAGTGGTAGACAAAACCATGTGCACAATGTCATCATGTGCAACACTGAACAGGTCACAAATGGCTCACAGTGGTGCACACAGTAGTCGCTGACGCTGCCCAATCGCGACTTCCTCGCTCGGCCGTGCGCTCCAAAGCCTCGGCTGCCCATGATGCACGCGCTCACACCCAAACGCTCTACCTGGCAGACGCAAAGAGAGAAAGAAGGCAAGAACCATTCAGAAGCACAAATTGACTGTGTTGCTCCAAAAGGTCACTGCTGCCAATGGTCTAAGCACTCTTGGCTTTCTGTTATACTTGATAGAGGGATCCGACACGACGGGAAGACGCAGGTCAAACAGATGTATCAAATGCTCTACCTGTTTGTTTAACCAGGCTAGACATCGCAACAAACGGACACCTGGACACGAGAGATACGGGAGAGCTTGAGGAGGAGGAGAATCAAGATGACCGTAAAAATGCAACTGGTGAGAGTCTGAAGCGATTCTTATTGCATGTGCCAGTACGTGTATGCATGTAAGAAGTTGCTTTTTGCAAATCATCCGGAGATGCTCATACGAGCTTGGCTGACTCTCTTACCATAGAACTGCCTCTTGTATTCCACATCCGCTTCTTCATCACATTGGGAGCACGAAACAATGTTCCATTCCACGCTTCCTGAAGCCATTTCCGCAAGTCAGTCTCACCCTCTCGTGTTGCTTCCACCCATCTACTGCTCGCCGCGCACTACTGCTCCGCGCGACGCTGGTGTAGTTCACACTCGAAACAAACATCCCTCCTCGACTGATTACTGAAGCGTAGAACGCAATACCCGCCGCCTTCAGCGGGATGCGCACCTCAAGGCAAATGCGTTCCTTCATATCGTGGTCCTTTACGATGTGCACGCGGAACGGAATTCCCGCCAACTTCAGCGGCTCTGCCAACTCGCGCGCCTTGGCCAGCGTGAGCGCGTCGAACTCCTCCTCCGCGCGCTCCTTAATCTCGCGGTCCGCCGCCTTCGCCGCGTCCGTCGCCTCCCACGCGCCCCAGTCCGCGCCGTACAGCAGGCTCGTGGGACGCACGTGCAGGATGATCACCTGGCGAGACGCACAGGGATATTGCCAAACGATAGGAATTGAAACCACAAATGACGCGAGAAGAGCATTCGGGTAAAAGAGGCAACAAAAAATGGAAGAGCACGACCTTGTGGAAAGAGGACAATGCGAGCTCTAAAGAGCAGCGATGACAGCTACGCTATTCGCTCTTTAGCGAACTTCGAGTTCAAGAGTGTGGTGGCGAGGCAAAATCGAACTGAGATTCAGAATTTTCCAAACGCGTAGCGGGTTCTTACATGGTCCACTGGGCGCAGATAATTCTGCACAGCCCATCGTACGGCGTGAGCACTTTCGTCGCTCAAATCGATGGCTATCGCTATCTTGCGAGGTGGGTACTCCATGTTGTGGTGAGTACTAAGACCTCTACTTTGGTCCCGTGAAAGCAATCTGCTTCTCTTCTAATAGATACCACCACCGCTTGAACCTAGGTAATATTGAGCGTTAGCTGCGAGACTTCAAGTAGAAATACGAGTTAGATGGTCGCGTCCTGAGTTGTTCACCGGCTGGAATATCTAGTGAAATTCGATTGAGAGATTCTGGTGTGATAAAAAACAAGATGATGGGATGCGAATATGAGAGAGCATCTTTCTCCTAGCAGTCGGAGCGGTTCAGCTTTGCACGAGCAAGAACGCATTCACGAGGAAGCAGCCGAAGCACGTGCTGATGTGCTGGCTGGAATGTTCGATGCGATTCGGCGTGCTCCATGCGTGGCGCTGACGAGGTGGAAGACGCAAGGCCCTGTGCGCTGATTGGTGAACTAGGGGGCTATGGTTGTTGTTGGGGCGTGCTGGCCTTATGTTTCTTGTTGTGAATGGAGCAGGCCGCGTTGGTGAGATCGGTACACGTCAGGATGGTGCGAGGTGACTCCCTTCCACATGTACAGCTGTGCTGTAGTGTGCCAGCACTGCCGTGGTTCTGCTTCACACCAGCTGGGCACTTCACAGCATCTAGGTTAACACCCACTTCTGTTATACAAGAGTGCGAGTGTTTGTTTTGATGTAATGTTGAACATCGCTATGACTGATTATCGAAGACGACTTGTGGCGGAGCAGTGTGCTTGTCGCCACGGCACATTTTTTTCGGGACAGAAGCCGAAGCCGAATCAGGTTCGGCAGGTCTGGCCCTGAGGTCTGGCAGGCATCGCCTCCTAACCTGGAAGCGGTTTTTCGTCAGATGTTGGGCAGCCTGATTTTATGGGCGGATACTGTAGGCTCGAGCACACACACTCGAACTAGCAGGCTGTCTGCCCTTAGGGCAAAGCAGCTGGAAGTCCGCACCGCGGGCTTGCGCACCGGATTTCGGCGGGACCTATCGGCGCCCCGTTCCGAACCAGCTTTACCGCCTGCGACTGGGTCGCTGGTTCAGGTTTGCCTCCGCGAACCAGATCCCTGCCCGCAATTGATTCAAGCACAACTAGTCGCAGCGCGTCGCAGGAGAACTTGTTTGGGCAAGGGGTACCAACCACCAATCGCATGAGTTTCGTACGCTGCCCGAGCCTGCACTGCCACACTCTGCGTCGTCGCTCGCCCCTTCCATCCACCTGTCGCCCCTCCACCCCCCTCATCCACTTGGTCTTGCTGCCACTAACCTAACATTCTCCCGCTTTTCCCGCTACATATTTCCCTCCCTCATCCCTCTGCTTCCGCGTCGCCTCGATGCCTGTTCGCCCCACTCCTCCCAGCTTTATGTGCTTGCGGTCTTTCCAGCGTTCTTTCTCAGTTCGTTTCACACTTCCAGGCAGGGAAAGTTAGGCAGCTCTCTCGCTGCATTAGCGTACCCATTAGCCGACTAATTGACATTGATAGTTGAGGCATTCGTAGGAATCCTGTCCCGTTATCGGCACACTGGTTACAGGACGGCACTAACCAGCTACTAACAAACTAATTCCCGTCCTCTCGGTTCCAGGGATCGCGCACGAAGATTGTCGTTCTTGGTCCTGCAAGAACGGACTTTTCCACGATATAGCACTTTTGCTCACTCGTAAACTCGACTTGCGCGTCACGGATTCCACACCCGCCATGGCAGCGGCCCTGATGGACCGCGCAGTGGACCTGGGCGCGCAAATAGGAATCACCCCGACTACACTCATCTCGCTAGTATCGCCGCTTCTCTCCATCCCCTGCTGCTTCCTCCTCCGCGGCATCGCGTCGCCCACATACCGCCACGTGTGCGCGGCGCTCACGGGCCTCTTGCTCGCGCTGTACGCGTTCGGACCGACCATCTGGGGCCACTACGCCGTGCTCGTCGCCTTCACGTACACTGCCATGTCGCTGCATCGCCGGCGATGCGGCATGATCACGCTCGTCGGGACCTTCGCGTACCTCCTCGCGTGGTGAGTCGCGCCGCTTGCTCAATGTCTCTGATTTGATGTCTCTAGATAGTGTTGAGAAAATAGGAGCTTGCTCCCTCTACATGTGTCTATAATTCCGCCCGCGACCCACCTTCCCCCCCCCCCTTCGCCCTTACAGTCACATTATTTATGCGAGCGGCAAAGCCCGCAAGGACCAAGGGATCGATTTCGCCGGGACGCTCATGATGGTGACGTTGAAGCTGACGTCATCGGCGTTCGACTACCAAGACGGCGAGTACCTCGTGAACAAGGACCTCCCGACGCCGCAGCGCGGCACGCATCGCCATCTCAAGGAGCTGCCGTCCGCGTTACAGTACATGGGTTACATCTTCTGCGGCGGGTTACATCTCACGGGCCCGTTCTTCGAGCTCAGACCGTACCTCGACTGGGCCAAAAACCGAGGGGTAAGACGATCCGCGATTTCCGGCCGTATCTGCACTCGCTTCTAACTCTCTTCCTTCCTCTTCCTCTTCCTCTTCCTCTTCCGCTCCCATCATCGCCCTCACCTTCCGCTTCCTCCTCCCACTCAGGACGCTACTCTTCGTCGCTTCACCGTTCTTGGGTCCCTCTTGCCTTCTAGTGCCTTCCTTGCCTTCATCTCCGTCGTCCTCTCCTCTCCTCTCTTCTCCTCCTCCGTCGCAGGTGTGGTCGCACGATGCTCGCAAGGCACCCTTCGCGATCCCGTTGCTCGTCGCACTCGCATGGGCGACAGCGGCCGGCTTTATTCACCTCGTCCTGAAGCCGCAGCTCAACTTACCTCTGGTCACCGACCCGAAGCGCTTCTACGCGATTCCGTACCTCCACCGTTGGGGCCACGTCATCATCTCAACGTACGCCGTCCGATGCAAGATCTACTATGTTTGGACGGTTGCCGAGGCGAGCATGATCGCGTCGGGATTAGGGTTCAGCGGGTGGGTTCCCGCCAAAAGCGCAGGCGCTTCGACGCAAGAACCGGTTAGAAGTAAGAGCAGCGAGACTTCCGCCGTAGATTCCGCCGTGATTACCGCGACTGGCCGGCAACAAGGAAAATCGATTTTGAGGAAGACTGTGGTTCCTAAAAAGGCCCCTCAGGGGGTGTTGGGTGATAGTGCGGCGGGGAATGCGGCGAAAATCGTGAAGCTCGCTGCGAAGAGCCCTTTGCGAAAGAATGGAGTGGTAACCAGTGCAAACGACGAAAATGAAGCTCCTGAAATCGGCTCGAAAAAAGTTTTCTCCAGCAAAGATCTCGTTGTCCCCGCTACAAACGGCTTCCTTACCGCGTGCGAGGAGACCAAGGATGACATCGCTCTCGCGAAGATGAACGGGGTGGTAACGGAGCAGGCGAAGGTCGCAGACGTCGCAGAGCCGCGGTTGGTGGCGTCGTGGGAGCGTGCGAAGAACATCAACATCGCGGGGGTGGAGCTGGCGAAGGCTTTTAACGCGTACGCCAAGAACTGGAACGTCTCCGTGGGGCTGTGGCTGCGAACATGTGAGTGCTAAGACCATGAATGAGCCGGTGAATTAGTTACCTTGCCCACCTTCCCCGCGTCGCACCTCCCGCATCTCCCTCTCTCTCGCTCTAAATCCTCGCTCTCTCTGCTCATTGTATCCGTCCCCTCGCCTCATCCACCTACTCTCACTCATCCTTCTCCGCCATCCCCTCCCCGCCCCTTCCCCCACCCCACCCCATCTCGTCCCCCCCGCGCGCAGACATCTACGAGCGCACGATCCCAGCGGGGCAGAAGCCGGGCGTGCTGTCGCTACTGCTCACCGTCGGCGTCAGCGCCATCTGGCATGTGAGTGCCACGTGGCATATAGAGGGGTGGCATGAAATTGCTTGCTGAGATCCCCTCTGCGTTACTCCCTTCCCTTCCAATTTCGCTTCAATCCACCTCTCCCCCGCCGCCTTCACATTCCCCCCTTTCATCATGCTCCATTGCACCATCCAGAACCACCACCACCACTACCCCCTCCGATTCTCGCCTCCCTCCTTCCCCCCATCCGCGCCTCATTCTCTGTCCTCTATTCCCTCTCCCGCATCCCTCCCCATGTGTCCATGGTGCCACCACCAGGGCATCTACATTGGTGACTTCATGTTCGCGTTCAGCGGCGCGTTCCTCATCATGGGGTCGCGAGGTATGTTGTCGTCATTGCCATCGTTGCCATCATTGCCACCATGCCACCATGCCACAATTCCACAATGCCATCATGTCATCATGCCATCATGCCCCCATGCCCGCATGCCATCATTCCATCATGCCATCATGCCCCTATGGCATCATGCCAGCATGCCACCATGCCACCAATCTTCCATCTCCGACCCTCTCTCATTCTCTCCCATCGTCGCTCACTCCCTTCCTCTCCCATCCTTCCCCATCCCCATCCCTCTCCCCGATTGCCCCCTCTGGCATGGCAGTGATCTACCGCTATCAGCGCACCATTCCGGAGTCGCAGTGGCTGTGGGCGACCTTGGTGCAGGCGTTGCACTGCCTCTACTCGTTCGCCGGCCTCAACTATATTGCCATGGGCTTCATTGTAAGACTGTTACTTGATTCGCTCGAGTCGCCGTGGGCTTCATTGTGATACACTACCCTGTCGTGATTCGCTTGAGTCTCCATGGGATTCGTTGTACTACACTGTGTTTAAGACCATTAGTTAACTGCAAGCATACTGGTGTCAGAGCCAATTCTTCCTCTGAAAGGTTTCACCAAGAGGCTCACGTTGCTTGCGTTTCCCCTGTCCCTCCTCTTGTTATTCTCTATTGTTCACAGGTTTTGACAGCAGAGGACACCATCACAGTGTACCGAGGATTGAACTTTGTGGGCAATCTGCTGCCTGTGCTGGTGCTGGGCGGCAACTGGGCACTGCGGAGACTGCACGCGCTGCTCTCGCCGCCCGCCGTCGCTGGTGTTAGCAGCGGTGCTGTGAGCAGCAAAAGAATCGCAGCTGAATTGGAGGCGAAGCAGCCGGAGCAGCAGCAGGTGGTGCAGCCTGTGTTGGTGCATACCAAGGTGGAATGAGGTGGTGGGGAGATGACTGAGTCGGCTAATAATGAGTACAGCGGCAACCTGCCAAGTGCACAACATGAGTTGGCTTTTAAGGGGTACGGCTGCACCAGCCGTGTTGCTCCCGTGAATGGTGGTGTGGACTGGGGAGACGTGTTTGCTCCCCTGAGAAGAACCCAATCCTGTGGCCTCTGAAGCTCGACAGCACCTGACAGAATTCTGCGAATAGAGATTCCCTTGTAGCTGATTATTGTGAACAAGATGCAGGAGGGATGTTCTTGGAGCTAAAAGCCCTGGATACATTGCGATACAGTGTAGACATACAATAGCGTAGAGCCCTCGTTTAGGAAACCAGGGTGCATGATTTTTACACCTCACTCGTTTAGTTGATTTATTAAAAAAGCCATATCGAGCTCAATTGCAATAACAACTTCGCCAAAGCACCAGCGTGAATCAAGTACAGCGTAATCTCAGGGGCTGAACAGCATTCAGGCCAGGTTGTTGCTGAGCTGACATACTGCCAAAGCAGCGTACTAGTGATGCATCTGACCTGACGCTCCTTGTTTCTTGCCTATTCCCACTTCCCCCCTGCTCAACAACGGCCCCTCCCCTTTTTTCTACGCTTACGCCTATTGCTTTCTGGTGCTCTAGTGGCCTGTGAAGCTGTTTCCTGCTCCTCCCCCTCCTCTCCTTCCTCCTCTCCGTCCTCCTCACCCTCCTCACTCCCCTCCCCCTGCTCCTCTTGCTTTTGACTGAGCCTCCGCTTCTCCTCCCGGCTGCCCCATCGATCACCCCCGTCATCCCCATCCCACCTGTCACCTGGAGGAGGCATCCAAAACAATGCTTCTTCCTCATCTTCCTCATCCTCATCCTCCTCCTCCTCTTCATCCCCCGCATCCTCATCCTCCTCCTCCCCCCCCTCCCCATCATCCTCTTCCTCCCCCTCTCCCTCTTCTTCCTCCTCGTCCTCTGAGTCTTCTTCCTCATCTTCCCCCACTTCCTCCTCTTCAGATCGCCGTTTCCGTTTCGCCTCCCTCCGCTCCTCTCTGCTGCCCCATCGATCACCCCCATCATCCCCGTCCCACCTGTCGCCTACAGGAGGCATCCAAAACTCTGCCCCATCTTCCTCTTCTTCACCCTCCACCCTTTCCGCCGCCCCCTCCATTTCCTCCCCCTCCTCCCCCTCTTCCTCCTCACTGTCCTCCCCACTGTCCTCTGTTTCCCCTTCGCTGCACTCTGCTTTTTCTTCAGTAATCTCCCTTTCCACACTCGCTTCATCGATCTCCTCCCATTCCTCCCCTTCCTCCACCACCTCCCCTTCCTCCACCTCCTCCCCCTTTTCCACCTCCTCCCCCTCTTCCACCTCCTCCCCCTCCTCCCCTTCCTCTCCCCCCCGACCTTCCTCAGCACCCCCCCCCACGTCCGTCCCCCCAGTCACAGGCTGGCTTGCTGCGGCCAGCTCTGCCCTTCTGGCCGCCCTCCGCGCTGCCGCCTCCTGCTCCTTCTTGGCTGCGCGCGCCACATGGGGGGGCGGGGCCGCAAGGGGACAATGGGGATATGGGGGATAAGGGGCGGAAGGGCGGAAGGGCGGAAGGTGGGGAGCAACGGAAGCTCGAATTTGCAAGAGCAGATGAAGACACACAAGAAGATAAAATGGCATGATGGAGCAAGAAAGCAAAGGAGCGAAGGAAGGATGGAGCACTCACTGAGTTGCTTTTGGAATTTGTGGCCCATCATGTGCTTCCATACAGCGTCCTCCGATTTCTGTATAAGCTTGTTGGTCAACGTGCACAGCAGCTTGTTGCTGCGATGGGATGAACAGAACAGGGGACAGGGTTTGAGGTTTCTCTTGAATCGTGCGTGACGGACAACCTTTCTTCTGTCTCACAGACGTTTGTTGAACGCAGCCTGATAAACCGGCGCCTGATGAATGAAACACGTGTGCTACTATCGGAAGGAGTGAGCAAATATCAGAGGGAGTGCGCGATCTCACGGATTATCCGGCGACTGCACGACGTGCGGCTCGAATTTCCGGAGCGCGAGCGACGCCGCCGCTTTGGCGAAGATTCTGCTTGCCACGTGTCGCTTAAGCGACTCGTGGGTAGGAAGGAACTCGTGACCAGTCAGCGCGCAGCGCAAGCGGCCTGAGTCAGTCCACGTCAGATGCTCCTTGTGCGTCGCAAACAGAGCGCAAAAAGCGGGATCGTCAGGTTTGGCAGAGGTTCGTCCATCGAGGCTCGGATTCACCACGTCCACCCCCGCCCGCGGCTTCTCCGCTTCCCCAGCATCCCCCGCTTCCCGCCGTCCGCCGTCCGCCTGCGCCATTGGACACCAGCCGGGCAAGCGCGGAGAGATGGTGATCGGAATGCGATGGCAAGGGCTTGTCAAATGTTGACGCGACGGTTGATTAGAACATGGTGTGGAAAGCTGCTGTTGGTGGCTCATCCTAAATATTATCTTCAAAACCTCGGCGTCGTTATGGAAGGATGCGGCATGACACATTCTAGACCTGAAATCCGAAAAGTGAATTCGAAGCTTGGTGTCATGCATCTATTGGAATTGTACTGGTTAATTCTCCATACCCTACACGTATTGGTGTATTCTCCATACCTGTAAGGAATTTTCTCGGCATTCCTTACGGAGCCGACTACATCGCGTACAGCAACAGCCGATGGTTCGCCCGTTACTGCTAACGGAACTTCGCCGACTTCGCGCGCACTGTTTTACCAAACCTCGCACTGCTGGCATGGCCGTATCGGCCTACGCTTCGGGACTAGCCCGAGCCTCGCTCCAGCGTAGCACTAGCAAGTTCGCACGCACCGCGTTACCGTTTTGCATGTTTCGCGTATAAATGTTCGCTCATGCCTTCGCTCACATTTTGTACTCGTTTGACACCTTAGTGCAATTCTCGCTACCTCGATGCATTGCACCCGTAACAATACCCTACACATCCGAAAAGTGAATTCAAAGCTTGGTGTCATGCATCTACTACACGTATTGGCGAGTCCAGTGTAAATTGTATTACCAGCGTCAAATACATAATTTGACAAACAAAGCAATCCATAACAACCTGTACAAAGATTCTAGAGTTTAGACCTCCTAACCAAGCCTAAACCTATCAGGCGGAACCTCAATATGTCACCCATGAAACGAACTTTTGGGATATAACCCCTATCATGCCTCCACCACCACAGGTGACAGGCCTGCTTTACATCCTCCCCAGCTGACCCATTGATGCAGCTCCTATGGACCACCTCCTAGGGGAAGGCAGCCGCTGCATGACTCCTTTGGTGAAGAGGAGGGCCAGCAAGTGCCAGCAAGCCCAGAAGTTCTGCTAGCTTGGAACAAGCTTCAGGGTGACAGATTTACCCGGCCGGCTTCAAGAAGGCCAGTTTCCAGCCCTCAGGCTCGGTGCACTCAGCCAATCAAATGCCATGCCTTGCAATGCCTGTCACCTCCATCCCAACATGAACCTTGCGGTGTCACCACCTCTCAGCTTCACCACCACCCATCTCCTAAGCCTCAGCAAATTCCCTTTACATTATCATTTTGGATGAAGCGCCAGAGATTCAACGCCCGAGATGTTGAGGACCCCAATTTCCAGCTGCATGTGGACTCCCGGCCCATGCAATCCAGCCCAAATCGCCCAGCCAGCGAGCTCAACCAGGAGTCCAGCCCAGGAGCTGAGGCCAGGAACTGAGGCTATGCAGGATCTGCGGGTGTGTTCCAAGGGTGGTTACACAATGGGCACGTTGACCGCGTCCGAGTCGGCCTGCATGAGCGTCCACGACGCGTCGGCGTCCTGCTTGGCCTCCAGCGCCGTGTGCCCCGACGCGAGCGTCATTCGGTTGCTCGCCTCCGCGCGCACCTGCCCCGCCGACCGCTGCTGCGTCTCCGCCACCAGCTCGCGCAGCGCGCCCAGCGCCACGTCGTACCCGCGCATCACGTTCCGGATGGTGTGGTTGAGCACGCGCGCGACCCACACGCGGAAGAGCAGCTCCTCCCAGTCCGCGTCGCCCTTCTCGAAGTGGTCGAGGAAGCGAATGTACGCCGCCACCCACGCCTCCTCGTCGCAGAACGACCACGTCGGCCACTCCGCCGCCATTATCAAACCCTGCACGCGAAGCCACGTGGTACAAGGACAGGAAGAATTAGACGACAGTCTGTTAGAAAAAAAAACAATTGCGACGGGTGGACACGCAAACCGGTGACCAAACCAACAGAAATAAGAATCCATCTCGATAAAAGTAAAAAATTAAAACCATATCAACGGCTTACCTTGGCGAGCGCGGGGTCGAAGTACTGATGGAGGAGGTCCTTCATGCGCGGCGTGAGCGGCTCCTTAAGCAGCTTGAGCGTCTTCTCCACGTCGTACCCCACCTTGCTCCGCACCGCCTCCGGCACGGGCCGCGCGAACTCCACTCGGTGAATCACCGGGTTACCCTCGTCGTTCAGGTCCTCGGATTTCAACGACTGCCAGGGGAAAGATGAAAGGTACGCGAGGAAAGGAAACGGATGAGGAAAAAGCTCAGAGCCACAAGGCTCGCACCTCTAGCACAGGAGACGTACCAACGCTAGTGAAAAACGGGGACTTTTACGGTAGGTTAAAATTAGCTAGCTGAAGCACGGTTTCAAAATCACACCTGCACGGCGGAGAAGCACTCGATGAGCATGGTGCGCAGGTCGCGCAGGCCGCCGTAGAGCGCGTGCATCTTGCCCTCAGGCACGTACACCTCCGCCAAGCGCAGCCCCGCCTGCGCCGTCACGAACGTGTAGAGCGTGTCGATGCCCCAGTCGCTCTGCGTGCGCACACGGTGGTCCGCCACCAGCACCTCCGCCGCGCGCCGCGTCAGCAGCAGCTCCCCGCCCAGCGGCTGCTCGATGTGCGGAAGCACCGAGTTCGGCCAGAGCAGCGCGAAGCCGATCTTAGTGACGAGCCACGTGATCATCGCGTCGGTGGAGGAGCGCGGGAAGTAGTGCCGCACGATGTCGAAGTCGAGATCAGCTTGCTTCTCGGCTTTGGAGATCCACTCGCCGGAAAAGGAGGTGATATCGGCGTCGTAGAAGTGGAGCCGCTCAAACTCGCGATGCTCGACGAAGAATTGGAGCGCCGTGTTCATGCCGTCGCCCTTGCCGCCACGCAGATTCATGCCTATCCGGCGCTGCAGGCGCAGGATAACGCGCTTTCCTGTGCGCTTCTCGATGCCTGCTGCGGCTGTCTCGATAGCGTGCCATGTCTCGCCCTTGGAGAATCCCACGCCGAGAACGGCGGATACCGACGGGTGCGACGCTGCGATTTCAACGTTGCGAACAGCAACGGTGACGTCTTCCTCCTTGAACGGGAAGCAAACCAGGGAGGCCATCCTAGAGAGCGGCTTGGTTTGGCGGTAACGAAGACTTGCCCTTAATACGAATGGCTATTGTAGCGCTCCCTAATAGTCTTCAAAGGCTGCTGCTGGGAATTAGTAAAAACTATGAAGAAATTGAAGGATTTGGAAAACTAGAGTTCTGACTCTTCTGGTGTGGCTGCCTTCAATAAATACTCGAACCGCACGACCAGGGGGGGGAGATGGAGGTGGAGGAGGGAGGTTGAAGCGGAAAGGAGTGTGGCGTGGATGAGGGGATGAGGGTGAGGCGCGGGGCGGAGCAACCAGAAGAGCAGGGGGGGAAGGTTTGTTTCCCGCGCGCGCCTGGTAAAGATTCAACCTTCCAGAAGCTCAGAGGTCCTTGCCTTGGCGGCCGGCGAATGGCGTCCACCCGCCACCAAGGAGAACCGAGTCTGGTCGACGACGCGACCGGGAAGCTGTTAGCACGAGTGTACACGTGGCGGGAGTTAAGTCGCTCTGGCAGGGCCAGTAAACAGCCAGTCAAGTTTGATGGAGATCTACGGGCAGCACAAATATAAGAGATGTGTGAGGAAACAGGGTTTTTGTACCCGTAAAACCAGTTATAGAACATCACTGTATCTTGGTGATTCTACTTAATGAGGCACACGATGAAGCAGCTGGGCAGGAAGTAGATCATCGCATCGATCTTCCAACAAACAGCCTTACCGAGCTGTCAACACGTAACTCGCTGAAATTCCACTTGGACCCGAGGTTCCAGACAGGGGTATCCATAAGCATGCACATGATTCGTCGGAATTGCCACCTGGAGACTTCTTAGGCCCCATCATCCACTCACAGAGCTGGCTGACAAGTTCAGCTACGAGCCACAAGATGGATGGAATCGCGAGTCGCCAACACGTTTTCTCAGCCGTTGGATGAACATGTCAACATTGTTTGGCGATCGAACGCTTCTGCACGACGGTGGGCCCAGGTTCCAGGAGGACTGGCGAATAGAATGATTCACACAGCCTCGGACAAGATCGGATACCCAGATTCCGGCAAGACTTAAACCGTTGTTTGTGTGCCGATCAACCATCTAAACCACTCTCCCGGTACTAGAAAACTGGATTGTCAGAATATGTAACCAGAACTAGGACATCTCAGTTCTTGTAAGGAATTTTCTCAGGCATTCCTTACGGAGCCGACTACATCGCGTACAGCAACAGCCGACTGTTCGCCCGTTACTGCTAACGGAACTTCGCCGACTTCGCGCGCACTGTTTTGCCAAACCTCGCACTGCTGGCATGGCCGTATCGGCCTACGCTTCGGGACTAGCCCGAGCCTCGCTCCAGCGTAGCACTAGCAAGTTCGCACGCACCGCGTTACCGTTTTGCATGTTTCGCGTATAAATGCTCGCTCATGCCTTCGCTCACATTTTGTACTCGTTTGACACCTTAGTGCAATTCTCGCTACCTCGATTCATTGCACCCGTAACACTTGGTTATCAGAGCCCCTTTCTTTCGGACCGCGCATCTCCGCACACCAGGAAATCAACTTTTGATTTTTCACTCGTAGGGACTCACGCACCTTAGCCCCTAGGAGCCGCTGTCCTCGCGTTCTCTCGTAAACGCGTGCAGCCACGACTGCGCCTAGACTAAGACGAGCCGACGCCCTTCGTCATGGCCGAAAACATCGACGTCACCACTCTCACGCAGGAGCGTTTGAACGATCTGCTGCGACAACTGCACGAAAGCTCCGAGGAAATCGCGGCATTGACGGCAGAACGCTCATCACTGCAAAATGACCTCATGAGAGCACAATCCCAAGCACCTGGCACTCCGATTCAACCTGCACCCTCAACATCACAACACGGGAGTGTGGGGCAACCCGCGAGCGCGGCCAGTGATGGCGTCGTCCGCCCCGACGGAGACGACGACCACGGCACGACACACCCCAGAGCGACGCCTGCGGCCCCAAGTCAGCCTCGCGTCACGATTTCGGCACCAACCCACGATTCGGGACTGCCGTCACCGATGCCGCTGAAACCGCAGCGCCCGCCATGCTTTGACCCGAGTCAACGGGGTGGTCCTACCGTTCAGGCGTGGTTATTCACAATGAATGTTTTCTTCGACGCCAACTACGTCTCGGAGGACTCGGCGAAGATTCGATACGCCGTGTCGTTGCTGCGAGGACCCGCCATGGACTGGTGGCGCGTCATCGTCACGAAGCCGACCGACTACGCGACACTACCGACACGGGAAGGACAAACCGGACCCTGGGCGCCGTCGTATTTCGTGGAGGTGCCCCAGTATCGCACGTGGGACGCGTGGTGCGCAGGTCTGCGCGCTCGATTTGAGCCAATCGCGGCCTCGATCTCGGCGCGACAGAAGCTCCGCACTTGGCGCCAACTCGGTTCCGTCCAGGATTACACGAGCGGATTTCTGGCGCTATGCGAGCAGGTGGGCTACATGCATGAGAGCGAACGCATCGACCGCTACATCGGCGGCCTGAAGCAGGACATCGCTCAGGAAATCCAGCTTCGCGGCGTCACTGAGTTTCAGGAAATTCTCGCTATGGCGGAGAAGCTCGACTTCTTTCGCCGACCGAGACCGGGGTCCTACGGAAACAACACCTGGGGACATCGGCCTCGTGGGACGAACGAGAGCGCCACGATACGCGCCGTCGCCGCAAATGCCGCTGCCGCACCGTTCAAAGGGCGCTGCTTTGCGTGCAATCGGCCGGGACATCGCAAGAGCGAATGCCCGGAAAACGCTAAGGGAAAGGGGGAAGCTGAGCAGCAGACACAGACCAAGCAGCAGGGAAACGCTGGAAGTCAGTAGCAGACGGGCCCTCTACTGACAGGTCACGCCGCTCGCCCGACCCAACCGACCCTCACCGAGTGATTGTGCCGGTTCACGCAATCGACCACACCCGGCCGAATAAGGAGGGTACCACGGTAGATAGCCCTATACTGCTCAGTGGGAAAATTGGGACGGACTTAGTTAAAATCTTCGTAGATGGGGGAGCCAGCCACAGCCTCATTAACACTGCTACAGCACGAAAATTGCGACTGCCACTGGACCGATGCTTACCTGAGATCGACGCACGACTGGTAGACGGCACGCCGCTGGCAATACGGGAACGCGTAGACCGAGTTCGGATTCGATGCGGGGGTAACTTCACGTTTAGTCAGGAAATGCTCGCAACGACCCTCGACGGAACCGACATTTTACTCGGGCGTGATTGGCTGCGACGACACAACCCGCGAATTGACTGGACGACGGGTGACTGCACCGTGCGAGTGAACGGTAACAGCATCGCCTTACCTCGCTGGGGCTCGCCTGAGTCTTCGTCGGTGCGTGTCAACGCGATCACGATGAAACGCGCTGTTGCGGCCGGAGCCGACGTGTACGCGGTTGACATTCGGGAAGCCGAGGCAGCAGACAAGGGAGGCGATTTACAGAAACTGCTGACCGACGTACCGAGTGACCTGGCGGCACTGTTACAACAGTACAGTGACATTTTCCCGGATGACCTGCCGACGGGACTGCCACCTCAGCGACCGCACGATCACAGGATAGAACTGGAACCGGGGGCACAGCCAACAGTACAGCGACAGTTCCGACTGACCCAACCCGAATTAGACGAACTAAGGAAGCAACTCGATTACCTGCTAGAAAAGGAATTCATTCGCCCTAGTTCGTCGCCTTTCGCCGCACCAATACTGTTCACACCGAAAAAGGACGGGGGTTTTCGCATGTGCATCGACTACAGGGCACTGAACAGGGTTACCATCAAATCCCGTTACCCCATCCCACGAGCCGACGAACTGATCGACCAACTGCGCACAGCCCGGGTTTTCTCGAAAATCGACCTCCGGGGAGGATACCACCAAATCCGCGTCAACCCACCCGACTGCCCTAAAACCGCATTCCGAACACGCTACGGATCCTTCGAATACACCGTCATGCCATTCGGACTGACCAACGCCCCCGCCACTTTCCAAATGACCATGAACGAAGCATTCCGCCCGCTTTTAGATAAGTGCGTCATCGTTTATCTGGACGACATACTGATTTACAGCCCTGACAGAGCACAGCACTTACAAGACATCGAAGCAGTTTTAAAAATCCTGAGTGAGAACCGCCTACTGACCAAAGCATCTAAGTGTGAGTTTTTACAGGACCGCCTGGAGTTTTTGGGACATGTTATTTCAGCTGCAGGAGTGGAAATAGACCCGAAGAAAATTGCGACGATTCAGGCTTGGCACGCGCCGACCAACTTGACCGGTTGCAGAGTTTCCTGGGGTTCGTCAACTACGTGCGCCGGTTCGTCCCCGACATGGCGAAACTGACTGCCCCGTTGACTGACCTGCTGAGGAAGGGGGTTGAGTACACGTGGGGGGAGAAAGAGCAAGCTGCCTTCTCGGCCCTCAAAAATATTTTGTGCTCCCCGCCCGTCCTTCACATTGCAGATCCCCACCGTCCGTTCGAGCTCGTCACCGACGCAAGTGACATCGCTGTGGGAGCAGTACTGTTGCAGGATTTCGGGAATGGCCTCCAGCCAATCGCGTACGAGTCCCGCAAGTTACACCCGCCCGAACGTAACTACCCGATACACGACCGCGAGATGCTAGCGATCGTGCACGCGTTCAAAGTTTGGCGATGTTACCTGACTGGTGCCGACGTGACAGTACGGACAGACCACCGCTCGCTACAGTACCTTCGCGCCCAACCGAATCTCAACCCACGACAGATTCGCTGGTTGGACTATCTCGAGTCCAATTTTCACTACACCGTCACGTACAAAAAAGGAGCATCCAACATCGCCGACGCTCTCACCCGCCCCACCGCCCAACTCCACGCCATCCTACTCGCCCAGACCAACCCGCTTTTAACTGGCCTATTCACCCACGGATACCGCACCGACCCATTTTTCACGACCGGAAATTCACAGCAACTGGCAGAAGCAAAAGGAGTTTATTACGTAAAAACAGGCACCAACCGCATTTGGGTACCCGCGTACTCACTACTGAGGGAGCTGCTGCTGCAGGAGGCACACGACGGGATTACCTCGGGACATTTCGGGGTAGAAAAAACACGACAGCAACTGCAGCGGTACTATTACTGGCCGGAGCTGTTGACCGACGTACAGCAGCACGTAGGCTCGTGCCCGACGTGTCAGGTGATGAAGAGTTCAAGGAAGCGGAAGGCGGGTCAATTGCAGCCGATCCCACCGCCCGAACGCGCCTGGCAGCAAGTAACCATGGACTTCGTCACAGGGTTACCTTCGAACCCTGGGGGTAACGACGCGGTGATGGTCGTCGTGGATAGGTTGACGAAGATGGCACACTTCGCTGCGTGCAAAAAGTCGATCTCAGCCGAAGAGACCGCTCGCCTGTTCATCGCAGCCGTTGTTCGCCTGCACGGGATACCAGCAGCAATTATCAGCGACAGGGACACGAAGTTTACCAGCAACTTCTGGAAGAACCTCTGGGAGCAGTTCGGGACCAGGCTACAGTTCAGTTCGTCGTACCACCCCGAGACCGACGGCCAAACGGAGCGGACGAATCAGACGATGGAGCAGTTGATTCGTGCCACGTGCGACGACCCCACGACCTGGGAGCAGCAGCTGCCGCTGATCGAGTTCGCGTACAACAACGCCACATCAACCACGACGCAGCAGTCCCCGTTCTACCTGAACTATGGGCAGAACCCCACAGTGCCCATGACGCCGAGTCCGGACAACCCCACGCCACGCGCACAACAATTCGCCGAAATCCTGCAAGCTGCCCGCGCCAGAGCCGCCGAAGCAATAAAAAAGGCCAACGTCATCGCTAAGCGCAACGCTGATCGCCACCGCCGCCCCGTCACGTATCAATCTGGAGATTACGTGCTACTCGACACGCAAAATCTGCGACTGCCCGACGTACCAAAATTACGACCGCGCTACTGTGGACCATTCCAAATCAGTCACATGATCACACCCGTCACCGCGCACCTACTGTTGCCAATTGACTGGTACATCAGCCCTTCGTTCCACGTCAGCCTACTTCGCCCATACATCCCGACCACGAGTCAACTGCCGCGTCACCGGCCACAATCAATGACTCGCCCTGCATCAGAGCCGATCATCGAGCCCGAGAAATTTTTGAGCCATCGGATCCGCCACCCCACGGGAATCAGGAGGATTGAATTCCTCGTTCGCTGGAAAGACCGCACGCCAACTGAAGATAGCTGGGTGCCCCTGAGCAACATCGAAAATCACCCTGCCCTGCAAGTGTACTTGAGAAGCCGGGGATTCCGGGATATACACGCACTCGCGTAGCGGAGGGGGCTTCTTAAGGGGGGGGGGTAGTGTAAGGAATTTTCTCAGGCATTCCTTACGGAGCCGACTACATCGCGTACAGCAACAGCCGACTGTTCGCCCGTTACTGCTAACGGAACTTCGCCGACTTCGCGCGCACTGTTTTGCCAAACCTCGCACTGCTGGCATGGCCGTATCGGCCTACGCTTCGGGACTAGCCCGAGCCTCGCTCCAGCGTAGCACTAGCAAGTTCGCACGCACCGCGTTACCGTTTTGCATGTTTCGCGTATAAATGCTCGCTCATGCCTTCGCTCACATTTTGTACTCGTTTGACACCTTAGTGCAATTCTCGCTACCTCGATTCATTGCACCCGTAACAGTTCTAAATGAATGCCTTCATTTGCAATCAGCTTAACAGGAAAAACTGTTTACCGTACAATGACTAGAGTTCTGCAGAATTGACTCGTTGGCCATAGAAGGTGAAAGTGCTGTGATCGTCTCCAACAAATCGCCAGTGCCATGGTTCATACATGATTCCCCTTGTGTTATCAGGTGGAAAGGACAACTCAAAGTGAAACCTGCACAAAAGGGATGGCACATCAAAGGTCTGAGCTGATGGATTCGACAATCCAAAACAGCAAGAAGGCAACACAACTCACCTGTTGGCATTCTTTTGGAGCCAATAAAACGCTTCGGTGTTTTCAAAATCTGCAGAGGCAAAACAAAGAGGCAATATATCAATCAACTTCAGTCCTCGTTGGGATCCCACGAATCACGTTTATACATCAGACACCACCTTGCACCATCACACAACAAATTGCACCATCATACATCCTCTCAGCTAACAAGCTCCAATCGTACCAAACTCTAGATGTGTGGCAGGCGAGTTGGCATCCCCAATGTCGAGTGCATAGCCCGTGTGATGCTCACTGAAGCCCGGTGGGGCCGACACCTGTGAGTGGGGGGGCAGTGGCAGGTGGAGTACCAGCATAGTAGGTTTGGAGTAGGGGTTGAAACAAGGGGTTGTAACAGGATTGTGGTGAGCAGGTTGTAACAGGATTGTGGTGACCAGTTGGACCAAAGGGTTGTAACCGCAGGTTGCAGATTCCCTCAAACCTGAACCAGCCCACCTCACACATGTGTAACCTACCCAACTCGCACACACACACGTCAACCCACATCCCCTCGTGGCACCTTGGCTCGCTGCCTGATGTTCTGGTTGCGCGCTGCCTTCACTCCGTAGAACACCGACTGCTGGTCCCGCACTGACCGGAACCTGGGGGATGCAGAGGGGACAGGGGGGAGGTGGAAAGAAGTGGAATCAGCGAGGGTACTGTCTGGGAGTTGCTTTCACTCGTAGAATAAACAGCTGGTGACTGGAACCTGGGAGATGCAGGGTGGGTGAGGGCGGGAGAGGGGACTGACCAGGACGTTGAGAAGCAGGGCGAGAGAGTGGGAGAGGGAGGAAGAAGTTGAAGGTTGATGGAGGGCGTTTGAGATGCGACATGGGAGTTGGGAGGAAGGGAAACGATGGGGAGGGTTGTCGTGCACACTGGCACCGGGCAAGAGGGTTGAGAGGAACAGAGATGGAGGGGCCTACCCAGCGAGGGGCGTGAAAGGAGATGACAAGTGGGAGGGACATGAGTGGAGAGGACGAGTGGGAGGGACATGAGTGGAGAGGACGAGTGGGAGGGACATGAGTGGAGAGGACGAGTGGGAGGGACATGAGTGGAGAGGACGAGTGGGAGGGACATGAGTGGAGAGGACGAGTGGGAGGGACATGAGTGGAGAGGACGAGTGGGAGGGACATGAGTGGAGAGGACGAGTGGGAGGGACATGAGTGGAGAGGACGAGTGGGAGGGACATGAGTGGAGAGGACGAGTGGGAGGGACATGAGTGGAGAGGACGAGTGGGAGGGACATGAGTGGAGAGGACGAGTGGGAGGGACATGAGTGGAGAGGACGAGTGGGAGGGACATGAGTGGAGAGGACGAGTGGGAGCGCTCACCCGGAGAGGGGCGTGAGGAAGATGCCATCCCGCCTGGCCGCGTCCTGCATTGACAGGAACGAGCGCGCTGCTGCTGTGCGCAGCTGCACACTGGAGGGCGGAGGAAGCGACAGAGAGAGGGAGAAAGGTGAGTTGAGCTGTAAGGCGCGTGGGGAAGGGATCATGCTGAGACAATGCTGCCGTGCACAAGTGAGGGACGGGTGGAGGAGCGGGGAGCGCAGAGAAAGGAGGGACAGAAAACGAGGAAGAAAGGCATTCAACGTGGGAAACCGGGGGGGATGATGAGATTGGGGAGGGGCGCGGAATGAGTGATGGCAACATGGACACACACATGACAAGTTGACGCGGAATGCACCTGTGGACAGCAGCCCACTCACCTGCCATCGCCCAGCACGGGGCGCAGGTCGCTGTGAGGCGCTTCCTCCACCGCGTAGTGGCCCAGCACCTGGGGAACGAGGGGGGTGAGAGGAAGAATTGCAGAGAGGGAGGGCCAGAGGACAACATATATATCTCTTGCGGCGCCTACTCCACCGGATAGTGGCTTGGCACACGCAGAGAGGGGAACAGGAGGAATTGCCCCGGGGGGAGCGAGTCAAGGAGAAGGGTGAGAGTGAGAGAGGGGTGCGTGAGGAAAAAGCGAGGATGAGGAAGCGGGGTGAGGGTGAGGACGAGTGTTGAGAGTGAAAGTGAGTGAGTAAGAGCAGAGAGGTAGGAAAAGCGAAATCAGTGCAGAGGGGACAGAAAGATAGGGATGTATGAGTGTGAGGGATTCGAGAAATGTCTGGGGAGCATGAGAAACGTGTGGGGTGTGTGTTGGGTGAATGCACATGCGCGGGCAGCGGACAGACCTGATCCTTGACTGGCAGACTGGCCTCTGCAACCATCGCTGCATGGGGCAGATAGGGCCGGGGAGTGACCGGGCAGGGAGAGGCAGGAGGAGGAGAGGTAGGGGAAGGAGAAGCAGGGGGGAGAGAGAGGTTTGAAACCAGGAAACGGGAACGGGAGGGCAATGTCGAGGGTGCAATAAAAAGAGATTGGAGGAGGACACGTGGGAAATAACGGACGACCAAGGCAGAAACTGATGGAGCAGATTGCAGAGGTGAGGCGCGGATGCAGGAAGAATGCAGGGAAGATTGGGGGAGTATGGAGGAGGGCTTTGACGCAAAGGAGTGTTTGGTTAGTCCGAATGACAATCGGAGGCAATCAGGACAAGTTTGACCGGACCTGTGGCCGAAGCAGGCAGGGAATGTTTTGTTGGGCCGAACCTGAGACGGAGGCAGCGGGCGGAGCGGGAAGCGACTTGTGCCGTGCGAAGGCCGCGCCAGCAGCGACGACGCACGCGGCGACGAAGGTGGTCGCAGAGGCAACGGACAGGGGGAACGACGACTCGCCGCCATTTGGAGTGAGCGTTCGCCGCTGGGCTCGCCTTATTGGCTGGGTTGTGTTCGCGCGCGAAGCTACCTCCGCTCCCAACCAGCCCGCTGAAGCTTCCCCTGCCCCCCCTGCCGCGCCGAGCTTGATCCGCGGGAGGCAGTCTCCGCTGGGCGCAAGCACGCGCGCAAGCATCTCCGCCCGCTCCGCCGCCACGTTGTCCCCCGCGCCCTTGTCCTCTATGAAGCGCCGCCGTGCTTGCGTCGCGGGGGTAAAGGCGCTGCCAGCGGAGAAATCGCCGGGAATTGGGACGCCTTCGTGAACATCAATAGTCTGGTTAGCGCTCCCGTTCACATGAGTCCTTTCTCCCCCGTCAGTGAGATATGCGCCTGACGGGGCACCGTCCGACATAGTCACACTCCCATTATCCGTGAGATCCGCTGCGCCGATACCTGCTCTGCTTGCGTTGGCCAATGGCCGTTGAGCTCGCACACCCGCGTCCCCAATAAAAGGCTCTCTAGCATAAGTTTGGTAATCGACAAGGCCTCCAGTTTCGTTGTCGTTTCCATGCCGTCCTAGCGCGCTTGCTCGAGAGTGTGATTCTAACGAGGATTTTGCGCTACGATAAAAGAACGCGTGATCGCGCAAGCCATTACCCTCCCCGTTTGCCGACGCGCGCACCGGGATACGAAAATCGGAAACCGGAGCACGAGGGACAAGGGCTACGACACCAGGCTTATCAACACATGATCGTTTGACAGATGGTAACGGAATGCAATTTCCTCCCCGATGTCTTTCACTCCATAGTCGCTTCCCAAGAATCGTTCCGGTTAGGCTTTTCACGGCACTGTACGCCAGTTCCATGGGCCCCAGCGGCTACGTGCTGCTGAAGCTGAAGAGTCAAGGGTTCGCCTACTAATCACGCTCCTGCCTAGCAACACGTAGGTCAATGGCATGCGTGAGTTATGCAGAATAAGAGGGTAGATGGAGGAGTAGACTAGGTTGAGGTGGTGGGGATGATGGTGGTTCATCATGATTATGGCGGTTGAGGAAATGGCGGGAAACCTAGGGATTGGTAAAAGCAACTGTATACACCTATGTGGATATGTGGATGTTTGATTTTGTAGCATTGACGAATGACGTCTTTACGAAGATGAGTTGTTTATCGGTGTGACACCACAGGCATCAAGACCAGATTGTGTGGTCTGCGTCACGACTCGCTCAAATCGAGCCATGCGAAGGGGAGGGAAAGCTTCAGATTGGCCAGCTTGGTATAAACCACCAGCCCGAACCAGCAATCATCTCCCTCGTTTGTGGAGTGATCGAACGGCAACCAAGAGATGTCTGGAATGTGCATCGAGTGGTCGACGACCATATGGTCAGGTTCGGTCCGAAGCCAAACCTACCCGAAGGCACCGAATGTTCTGTTGGGCTCCCAAACCAAGCTCTGTGCTCCCCCCACCACGTCACACAGGTTCCCCTTCTCCATCCATTGCCTGATTCTGTCTCCTGAGATGCTGGATTCTGACTGGCTGGATTCGCATGCCTCCCTCGACCGAACTGGACCAGCCTGCGTGAACGAGTTTGGTTCGTTTGGGCGGCGACTCCAAGGTCGCCTCGCCTCGCCTCGCCTCTCCTCGCCTCCACTCTCAGCTCTTGTTCTCCCTCACCAATTCCAAAGCAGTTTCAGAGCATCTAAATCCCTTGGCTGCGCTTTAGAAGGCGTGTCTTTGCAGTCAGGCGCAGGAAAGCCGCGGTGGCCTCCCAGATTTGTTTCACGCACAGATCCCCTGTGCTTTTTTCCCAGCCAGCCATGGCTGGATTCGAGGACTTTTGCGCGTCGCTCGGGCTCTCCGTGGGAATCGGAAAGTTCCTCGTGTGCTATCTGATCAGCATCCCCTGCTGCTTCCTTCAGCGCCTCCTCCCAGCCGGCACCGTCCGCCATATCTGGGCCACGCTCTCGGGTCTCGTGCTGACGTACATTGCGTTCGGATATGAGTCGTTGGGGCATTGCGTGGTGGCGTGCGTGGTGGCGTACGGATCCATGCTCGTGTACCGGAAGAAATGCGGAGTGATCACCTTCTTTACCACCTTCATCTACCTCATCGGCTGGTCAGTCCAACTCCCAGCACCTGCTTCCGTTGCTCGACTTAGCTCCGGTCCTGCTTCATGCTCTGAGAAACATAAATTGAGCTGGTTTGCACGATCAACTCGTCGTTCTAGGATTCGGGAGTAGTCGGGATCTGATATCAATGCGTGTGTTTGCTTGATCGTGTGCAGCCATGTGTATTACATGAGCGGCGATTCGTGGCGGCAAGGAAACATCGACTTCACTGGTGAGCTTCCGTGCATTTTCGTTCGTACCAATGCTGCATTTTCCAATCATGGATTGCTGCATTATTCATTGACCGGTCTCTCCATTTCCAGTTACATGATCGCTGGGTCGCTATGGATTGAACTCGATACGTACCCTGACGGCTAAGATTCACGTTGATTCTAAACCCTTATATTGTACCAAGCCCAGACAAATAGATAAATGAAATGTCAGCTCGTCCCCTCTTCTGCCATTGTAAAGGTACATTCCCACCAGCTGATACATCGCCAGCTCATCTCCTGTCCGAATTCCTGCCTCCATTCCCCGCATTGCCGTGCGAGCAGGCGCGATGATGATCCTGGTGCTCAAGGTCACGTCCGTCGCCTACGACTACCAGGACGGCGGCAAGCCGCGCAAGCCGGACGACGCCAAGACGGCGGCGATCAGCGACGCGCCGAAGCCGATCGCGGCGATGCCGAGTCTGCTGCAGTTCCTGGGCTACACCTTCTGCTGCGGTCTGCACTTCGCCGGTCCCTTTTACGACTTCTCCGCCTACAACGACTGGATCGACCGCAAGGGGGTCAGTGCTGTGCTCTTCCGTGCTCTACCGTGCCCTACTGCGCCCTGCTCACGCTCGTGCAATCGTGTTTGACTCCTCGGCAACACTCCCAGAATTCTCTCAACCTCTCTCCACCGTAGAAAAAACAGCGTTCCAAAACCCGCAGCCCTTCTCCGCCTCCTCCCCCATCTCCCCTCTCTCCTTCCCCCTCCGCCAGATCTGGGCGCCTGGCACGCGCACGGCGCCCGCGCTGGTGCCGTTCCTGCGCGCGTTCGTGAAGGGTATCGTGGCGGCCGTGATCCAGCTCAAGCTCGCGTCCATCCTCGATATAGACATCCTCAAGACGCCCAAGGTGTACTTCGCCATGCCGTACTGGCGGCGGTTCCTGTTCATCTACCACGCGTGCGAGGTCACCCGCTGGAAATACTACTTCATCTGGTCCATTTCCGAATCCGCCATGATCGCCGCTGGGCTGGGCTTCAGCGGGTGGGTGCGCAAGATGGGCAAGGGGGACGAGGGGGGGAAGCAGAACGGAGGAAAGGTGGAGGGGGAGGGGAAGGAGAAGCACGTGGGCGGGAGCTTCACGGAGGTGGCGTCGTGGAAGCGCGCGCAGAACTGCCACATTCTGGGCGTGGAGCTCGCCACCAGCACGGCCACGCTCGCCACCAACTGGAACATCTCCGTCGGCCTCTGGCTGCGCACCTGTGAGTCAAACGAGGCCTCAGGCTGCGCAGCTGTCAGTCCGCCCGCCCGCGCGCTTGAACTGCTACTGCCTGCGTACTTATATTCCCCTTGCCCGTTGCCTGGGCGTGACCTATTTCTCTCTTTCCTCGTCCTCGCCCATTGCCTGTCTTGGCCCAATCCCCCTCTTATCCTCTCCCCTCCTTCCTCTTCCCCTTTTCTCCCCACTCCCCCCCCACTTCCCCCACTCCCCCCCCACTCCCGAACCTCCCCCCCCCTCGCCCCCCCGCTTCACCTTTTCCTCGCTGGCCTGCGCGCGCAGATGTGTACGAGCGGCTGGTGCCGGCTGGCGGAAAGCCCGCGTTCGTGCATCTGCTGCTCACGCAGATCGTCAGCGCGCTCTGGCATGTGAGTTGAGGGTTTGGGGTTTTAGGTTATGAGAAGTGAGTTGAGGGCTTTGGGGCTTTCGCATGTGCGTGACGAGGAATGGATTGAATACAAGTAACGAGAGTTTGTCACAAGCAATAGACAGGCGCTATGGTGTCACTAGGAATTAAAGCATGGAAACAGCAACGGGAGGACCAAAAAAGGCAGCCCTGGATGGCATGGCACACAGATTCCGTGTGAAAGGCCATAGAAGCATACATCTTGACGCGCCTCAAGAAGCCTGCTTTAAGTCGACTCAACACACGTCTCAGGCTGGGGTGCAACATTTTAGTCGCTTTGAAATTTTGAGAATTTGAGTTCCGAGCCACCATCAGTTCCGTAGTGCTTGGAGGTAGTGCCATCATCTTGCTGCAGTGATCCAGTATACCTTGCAGCCCAGCTGGTGGTAAACCCTAAACCCTGGCTCCTCTTCCCCCACCGCGTCCCTCCCCACCAGGGTCTGTACCCCGGCTACCTGCTCTTCTTCGTTGGCGTGGCTCTTGAGATCGCCGGCTCACGAGGTACGCTGGCGGTGCACCACACCATCATCTCCCCCCTCCCTCACCCAGTACTCCATTTGGTCTTCTTATCTCTCCTTCCCCTACCATATCACTCTTGCCCTAACTGATACCCGATCTTGCTTCTCATCCCACTGAACCATCAATTACCCTTTTCATATCAGTCGTCTTCTGTTTCACTGTTCTGCCCATCTCCCTTGTTCCCCCTTTCCCGTTGTCCCTTGTCCTCCTCCCCCCCACAGTCATCTACAAGTATGAGCGTGCCATTCCCCCCCAAGCGACCTTCCTGAAGGGTTTGGCGACGGTGCTGCATGCCATTTACGCGTGCTTCTGCAACAACTATGTCGCCATTGGCTTCATTGTGAGTGGACATCGGGTTCGTTGTGGGTCATGGTTGCAATTGCTGGCTGGAATGGGATGATAGCGATATTGCTGCCTGCACTGGTTGCCCCCACCTCACCCACTCTTTCCCCTCCTCCCCCCCCCTTCCCACCTCTCCACACTTACACCCTCGTACACCCCCTTCCCTGCTCGCTCTTAGCCCCCCCCTCCCATCTCTGCTCCTCCAGGTGCTGAAGCACAAGAGATCATCACAGCATACCAAGGAGCTGCTCTATCTAGGCAGCATTGTCATCCTTACAACCTCTTTCTTCCTCCTCCCCATTCTGGTTTCCCAGGTGCTGACAGCGCAGGAGACCATCACAGCATACAAGGGCCTGCTCTATCTGGGCAACATTGTGCCACTCGCCATTGTCATCCTTGGTAACTTCCTCCCCTCGCCGCGACCCCCTCGTCGCGCCAAGACTGAGTAGACAGGCATATGTTTGGAGCTGCCAGATGGATCTCTCCCATCTCACGGAAAGAGTTTTTTGGGGTGAAATTATTTGCTGCGAAGTGCAGCGTAGCTGTCAAC